TCTTCGAAACGATCTTAATAATGTTGAATGACACATTAAAATCTGAGAATAATTAATTCTTATTGCAAAAAATTATTATCTCAGCCGGGAGTCGAACCTGGATTTCTTGCATTCTAGTGTTTTAAAATCGAAAAATTATTTTTGTCCCACGTTTCTGGGAACTACATATGTAGTATATAAATTTACACAAAAATCATATAAGCTTTAAGATCTAGCTGGATTGTTTACAAAAGCTTTGATTTCTATAATTTGTGTTAATTAATTACTATTTTAGGTAATAATTTATTTATTTTCAATTGTCAGTGTAATAAGTTGATGATGAAATTTTAGAATCAGTAATGTTAATACCTTTATGTGTGATGCATTCGTCCACTAAAGCAAGTCTTCTACTAAAAATAATTCTTCTTTTAAATGATTACAAATCATTTCTGCCACAAATTCCGCAATTATCTTTTCAATAATCTCTGCTCTTTCAGAAAACATTGATTTTTCCTTTTTTAGCAAGTTGTATTTTATATAAAATTTAACCACAAAATTTTCAGTCCATTAGTTATATATTGTTTTGAAAGCGACACAGATGTTTTATCTTGCTCAGCATCAAAAATCGCATTTTTCACTCTATTAGCATATGAGATTTCATATAATAACTATGTCTATTGTGTTCCATGTTGGTAAATTTTATTAAAATACTTCTTCAGTTCAGAGAATCACTGTGCGTGCGAGTGAGTCGAATGCTTACTAAAGTGAGCAATATTTCGATTGGCGCACGATCTACTTGCTGCGTTCAGAAACATCATCCGAGATTCAGAATCATCCACCCAAGTGTAATTTTATCTTTAACATTCAATGAAATAAAATAAAATTTATAAAGGATATTTTCCTATATAGTACGTTTCTCAAATTATTACAATAATTATTTAAAAAATTGATTTCTTTGAAATTATGGACCAACGGCTGAAACAGCCGGACACGTACCCTTTTTTTTCGCTCAAGAACAATCTGTAAAAAGGGCATCAAATTCTCGACCGTCACCTGATGTTCCATTGTAAAGTACAATTTTAAGAAATCCACATTGCTTCTTCGTGCAAACTACTATTTGATCTATGGATTACTATTTTATAAATACAAATTGCACAGCTTTTATATGAAGCAAATGTTGTTACGACG